CTGCTTTCCAAAAAACCCCCCCCCCCCCCCCCCCCAAATACTTTGACCTGTGTGCAGGGTGAATAGAAAGGGAAAATGTATTGTTTAAGTAAGTTTGAACACTACACTCCATATACATCAAAGACGGCTGTGAGGCTTTTCTCACTGTATTTTTATTTGTAAATTGTATGTAATCTTGCAGTTTAAGTTGTATATTGTGCTGATGAATCAATAAATGTATATTGTAACACTGACAGTGACATGTTGGGTTTATTTCAGAGCCCTGTTCAGTGACAGTGGAGGAAATGGATAAAAGAGGTATAGAGCTGCAGTGGAAGGCAAAGGAAAATATATGCTAACCACATAATGATAGCATTGAATTTGCTTGTCAGAGGGGCAAATATTTAAGAGGCAATAACCCCCTAAGACAAAAGTGTAATGATGGAGTGATGACTTTGCCTGAGTGTGTGTCACAGTGGGAAAAAAACATCAATGACGCATAGGACTTTTTTTACTAAGCAAAAACAAATGGAGCATATCAAAATAAAATATTTTTCCCAATTCAGTTTCTCTATTTTGGACTTCTCACAATTAAAACTAAAGAAATGCTATAGGCAACATTGTTAAAATGTGCATATATGAAAACAACATGAAACCATTGAAGACCAGCTAAGTGAGCATATGTATTGTGATGAGTACAATGAAAAAAAAAAAAAAACTTTTTTGAATTTGAGGATGAGGGTGAATTGTGTGTGTTTTTTTTTATTAATTATTAAGTATCTTCTGTAGCCTCTGAAGTACAGTACTAAATGAAAAATATAATATTTAAACAAAACAAGAAAAGGTTTCACATATCCATCCTGTTTTAATTCAGCTTTATTATAATTATAATTATTATTATTATTATTTTAATAAAGTTGGTCATTCCACTCTGCGATCAAACATATAAAACACCTCATATATAAATTAATTTAATAATTTTGCCTTTAGATAGATTACATCAGTGGTTTTGCATGTCTTTTGAATCAAACACACCTGATACTGGTCATCAGCTCATTAATAGAGACTCCAAGACGTGAAATGTGTTTGTCAGTCAAAGCAGATGTGCAAAATGTGCACTACAGGGGAGGTTCATGGAACATGGTTGAAAACCACTGGAAGTTTTTTGGGGATGGTGATACAAAAACTTGTAGTGTAAAAAGTGTTTATTGTGATATACCTTTTATTTGTGTCTGAAAAAAAAAATATTATATATATATATATATATACACACATATTGCCATTGCAGTCAGAGAGGAGTTAAAAAACTGAGACATGAAGTTTGACACTTTCTGCTTCCTGTAGTGACATTCTTGCTGTGTTTGTGTACTTTATATGTATGAATATCTTTATCTTCAGTACGCTTCAGAAGATGCTTTTGCTGACCTAACACAATACAACAAGATGAAGTTGTTAGCTAACAAGGCATTTAAAAGGTACTTTAGTTTAAAAACCTGTACTATTGAGTTAATACATATTAAAATCACAAACCAACACATTCTTACCTTTGAAAGTTTATCCAGTTTCTTCAATAATTTAAATTTAGGCATTTGTTTTATAGCCAGATGCTGCACAATGTTGTTGCATCTTGAAACTCATTGATTTTAAATTTGAGTGACGACATATAGACAGTTCCAAGATGGTGGATGCATCGTCGTGTCTGGAGCATGGAATGTGGAATCTATCTATACATATCTATGGTGTGTAGTACAGTATGAATTTAATCCAGATATACTACGTTCACCATGCTGTCATTGTCATATGACCTACCAGCGTCAGTTGCGTCACTTCACAAGTCACAACACTCCCATGGTCTCATGAGATAGAAAAAGTGTCCATCTGACATGCACTTCAGAATCTCACTGGAAGTAGCAAGTAATTTGGGTACTATATTTCATCTACCGTTTTATAAATGTGAATAAATGTGATAAACTGTGAATTTGGGCATACTACTGTTTTCACACTATTTTTCACCAACTATATAGTAGGGAAGTATGCGATTTTGGATGCAGCCAAACAGTATTCAACTGCATGGCATGTTGATGACTTAATAATTTATTGCCCTGTTTTGGCAGTTATGATTTTTTTTATATGATTATGCAGTCTTATATAAGATTCAACATTGAATAAATAACATTTCAGTTTTATTATTATTTTTACATTTTTTTATGAATAGTGCTGAACATGAAATGAGTTTCAGTGTGAAATAATTATTAACAAAAATTCTGAAGATAAAATGAGAGTTGATTATGGGTCTCATTGAATTTGCAAGGCACTATATCTTAATTGTTTCCTAATGGCTTTGTTCAAGGCCTCAACACTGCCATTTTACCTCCAGCAGAAGAGTAGAATGCTTTGCTGTATTTTGAATGTGATTTGTGATTTTTTCAAGATAAGCTTGAAAAGTAAGAATGTGATTGGTTGATGACTGATTATGTACATGATAACCTAAATTCCTTGTTAACATGCATTTTTTAAAGAAAACATATAAGTGAATATATACAATCTCAGTGAATATCTGTTTATTTTTATTTAGTAATAAAATATAAAAAATAACCAACAATATTCACAATACAAAACATTTTCAAAACAAATTAGACCAATTGAATTGAGGCAAACATATCAAATATACACTGAAGCTAAAAAGGACGACAATAACAATGATTGGAAATTATCATGAGAAGGCCTTCTCAGAAATAGCTATTTTAATTTCCCACCAGGACACAGAGGTTTTAATCCCATCCAAATTTTGCTAATCCATAATCCCACTTGCTCCTTCCTCATTTCTCCCATTCCCTCTGTAGACCTTGACCCACAATGCACAAGTCTGGATGCGAGACAGACCGATTTTTTTTATTAATTATTAAGTATCTTCTGTAGCCTCTGAAGTACAGTACTAAATGAAAAATATAATATTTAAACAAAACAAGAAAAGGTTTCACATATCCATCCTGTTTTAATTCAGCTTTATTATAATTATAATTATTATTATTATTATTTTAATAAAGTTGGTCATTCCACTCTGCGATCAAACATATAAAACACCTCATATATAAATTAATTTAATAATTTTGCCTTTAGATAGATTACATCAGTGGTTTTGCATGTCTTTTGAATCAAACACACCTGATACTGGTCATCAGCTCATTAATAGAGACTCCAAGACGTGAAATGTGTTTGTCAGTCAAAGCAGATGTGCAAAATGTGCACTACAGGGGAGGTTCATGGAACATGGTTGAAAACCACTGGAAGTTTTTTGGGGATGGTGATACAAAAACTTGTAGTGTAAAAAGTGTTTATTGTGATATACCTTTTATTTGTGTCTGAAAAAAAAAATATTATATATATATATATATATACACACATATTGCCATTGCAGTCAGAGAGGAGTTAAAAAACTGAGACATGAAGTTTGACACTTTCTGCTTCCTGTAGTGACATTCTTGCTGTGTTTGTGTACTTTATATGTATGAATATCTTTATCTTCAGT